GATATGAAAATTGGCAATTTAAGCTATGGAAAACTTAGTTTACCAATTTTTTTTTTTGAAATTCTCTTCATATTTTTTGTTCTGTTCATTCATTATCGAAAGACAACTGGTTAGTCAAGGCCAGTGCATATGCTGTACGCTTTCTTTGAGTTCATGTTCCTACAATTAATTAATAATGGGTATTTCTGCTATTCGCAGAGAATCTATTAGAGGCTGTCGTACCTTCTTTCTAAGCTTAGTCAGTTTCTCTTATTTCTCTCATTCCAGACTGAGTTAGTTTGTTGAGCGAAGCTTTTTATGCGAGTCAAGGCCATTTTTTGCGTCTAGAAATTTCACCTGTTATCATTGATGCAGCCGAAATTGGTCAGGATGAGGTCGACCTGAAGCTAGAAATTAAAAACGAGCCCGTCCTCGCACACTATCATTTACTTGGCAGGGGATCGATTAAACGTTCTGACAATCTCAAGTGAACCCCTTACCACTAAGCTACAATGCACCCAAAAACGGCCTAAATTGAAAAGGAAAATATGTAGAAAGAAAGAAAGACTTTATTTCTCCATAATAGTATAAGTACAGATAAAACAGTAATTCTTAAGTATTTTAGGAAACTCAAAATAACTTTTGCACAAAATACCAGAATGGATTGGATAGACTGAAGGTACAATCTACCCGAACACAACTTTGTGATAACTCTATACTATATTTAAATGCGAGTGACAGCTATCTCCCATGTTTAAGCATAATAATTTTGCATGTTTAACGAAAGAATTTTTTTATGTTTAAGCTATATCTATATCTATCTATACTATATTTAAATGCGAGTGACATCTATCTCCCATGTTTAAGCATAAAAATTTTGCATGTTTAACGAAAGAATTTTTCATGTTTAAGCTATGTCATATATTGCAATGCTTAAGAAAATTTTTCAATTAATTTTTCAATATTTCTTTCGAGACCAAATTAAATCTATCTGTCTGTCTGTATACCTGCTTTTTAAATTAATTTGATAATGTCTGTCTACCCGTCGATCAATTTTTCAACTTTCATCTCTGCTCTTATATATTTAAATGCGGGCTGCACTATCTCGCCATGTTTAAGCTTTTTCAACGTATTATTTTTGCATGTTAAACAAAAGAATTTTTTCACGTTTAAGCTATGTCGTATATTGCAATATTCAGTTTTTTATCGATTTTCCAGTTTAAATTCCGTGTTTATTTCATCAAATTTGAAATGAGCAACCAGGAAATTGAAAGATTTTTCCCAGGTTTTGCGATTCTGGCCTCCATATATGAGTAACCAATTTTTTTTTAGTTTACGAGCTAGGCAATTTTGAGATTTTGAGGATGATCTCATTACTGTTGTTAGATTCTGATTATGGCTGCTGAAATCCTTGTAGTTTTCGAGATATGACGTTTTTTTTGGATTTTTTCAACACTTGTAAGAAAACTTAGATATAAAAAGTTTCACAAAACTTGAAATAACCATCTCTGTAGTGAGGCTTTGCCAGGGTACTCTCAGAAGTTGCGAATTTTAACGCCAAATGCGACTACTCAAATCCTTGTAGTTTTCGAGATATGACGTTTTTTATGATTTTTACCGAAATTTTCAAAGAAAACCTGAAAAATTCCAAAAGTTTTGAGATCTCAATTCTCTAATTGGAATATGTGAGGGTACTCTCAGGTGGTTGCGAATTTCGCCTTCCAATATGATTGCTCAAAGCCTTAAAGTTTTCGAGATATGACGTTTTTTATGGTTTTCTCCGAAATTTTCAAAAAAAAATAGATGTTAAAAAGTTGCAAAACTTTGAAGATATCAATCTTGTTTTTGAAATATGTAAAGGTACCCTCAGGAGGTTGCGATTCTGGCCTCTAAATATGGCTGCTAAAATTCTTGTAGTTTTCGAGATATAACTTTTGTGATTTTCATAAAATTTCAAAATACTTTAATTAATTTTTGTTGTCAAAGCTGAAATCCCTTAACCTGTAATTGTGTGCTGTCAGGGTACTCTCAGGGATTGCGAATCTTGCGTCCAATTATGATTGCTCAAATCCTTGTAGTTTTCGAGATATGACGTTTTTGTGATTTTTTCAAAAAACTTAAATTGGTTTTTTAAATTTGACATTCCTTACCCTATAGTTAGGTGCTGTCAGGGTACTCTATGGAGTTGCCAATTTTGCGTCCAAATTCTACTGCTCAATTGCTTTTAGCAGCACCTAAGGGTGCGTTACACGCTAGTTTAAATAAAATAAGAGAAAAAACGGAAGGAAGCTTTGTTTGAGTTCATGTACCTGTAATATTAATTAATAATGGGTATTTCTTTAGTCAGTAAGCTTTCTTTGAGTTCATGTACCTATAATATTAATTTTTAATTGGTATTTCTGCTATTCGCAGAGGATCTATGAGAGGCAGAGGATGTATAATGCTTTCTGAAAGAAATATACCTAATTAAGAGCCAAATACTGTTTAGTTTGCATTGATTTCGCGTGATTGCTAATCACATATAATTTAATCCCAGTATTAAGTAATTTAAAAAAGTTTTTTTTCTTAAAAAATTCAAGTTAAAAAAAAACCCGAAAAAAATTGAAAAGGGACGATATCAGAGGGTCATTTTTCGGATAATAATTGCAACCCTGAAAGGGTGCTTTGATAGCATTTACTCAATGTGTTCAAAAAGTATATAAGTAAATATGAAAGGTTAATTAACAATGGAATGAGCTAAATCAATCTTTTCAGGTTTAAACTTATTTTCGAATTTCTAAACGAAATTTGTTTCTTCATTTTTGGTCATTCCACCAATTTGTCAGGTAGCAGATTGTTATTGCTCATTATAATCAACAATTTTGTACCTCTTTTAGTTAGAGAGCATGATTTTGATTGATTTTTACGAAACAGAGAAACAAATAATTGTTTTTTGGAATTTCTGGTTCTATACATAAAATTTTTCAGAGAAAACACTAAGTTTCAGAAAAATTGTTGGTGTCAATGATTCAAAGATTGGAGCAAAACTTCAATAAATCGCATATTTAAAGTTCATGCACCATTAAGATTCTGTAATCCCAGAAATACTGTGCTATACTGCCATACTTTCTCTTGAAAAAAAATCATTCGGTCGGACAATTTTTCGCTGTAACATAAATTTGGTTCAAGAGAAAAATTGATTCCCCATACACAAGCGAGCCGTATTCTATTATTGGTTTGATATTCGAGTTGTAGTATTTAAGTAAAATTGATGTTGGAACATAATGAGGCATTTTTGAAACAATGCCACAATGACGCCCTAGTTTCGTTTAATTTTTTTTAATATGAAACAAACGACAATTTGCAATCCAGTATATCACCCAGGTGATTACAGGATGGCCTCGGCTCATACATTATTTCAGCTAGGTAAGTTTGAAGATTGCAAGCACTATCATTTCTATCAAAAGTTGTTTTTATCTGAGTTGTGTTAATTTATTGCACATAATCATTTGAAAACATTCGTTTAATCTTTTTGAAATAGATCAAGGCACGAAATTTTACAGGCCACATTTGTATCATCAGCATAAAGAAAGACGTTTGAAACAGTCGCTGAGATTTGCAGGTCAATAATATAAATAAGAAAAAGGAGAGGGCCAAGAACGGAGCCCTGATGTAACCGTGTATTTATGGGCAACCAGTCAGAATGTTGATTATTGACTTGAACGCACTAATACCTATTGGCCAAACAATTTTCAAGCCTTGTAAAACAGTTACCACGTATACTGTAGCAATCTAATTTCCGTAGAGGAATTTTATGATCAAGCGTATCAAATGCTGTTTAAATGAACAAAAAAACTAGCGCTAATTTTTCCGTTCATCCCTAAACGAATGCGCTCAGTTAATTCCGCTAGCACATCGCTTGTCCTATTTGTTTTCGTGAAACCCATACTGACTATCATAGAGCAAATCGAATTTTTCAAATTAATTGTACAAACGAAAATTCTTAATTTTTTCTATTACTTTGCTACAGCTGCTTAAAAGAGATATCGGTCGGTAATTATTAATATCCAATTTGCTATCAGTTTTATGGAGAGGTAAAATCTTTGCCTACTTCAGATTTTGCGGAAATACACCAGAATTGAAAGAAAGGTTTATTATGAATGTTAAACAAGGAGTTATAACGTAACCGCTTTCTATCAGCAGCAAATTGCTTATTTCATCGATTCCGGAAGTTTGTTTGGGCCTTAAGCTGGTATAACACTTTTGACCTCTTGGAAAGAACAGTTGAAAAGGTAAATTGATTTAGCAGCATTTTCAATATGAAAGGTTGGTTCTACTTGATATAGGTTTAGCTAAATTAGATCCAATTAATAAGAATTCATTGAAAATGTCTGATATTGAGGAAGAATCAGACACATTGCTACCATCAACAGATATAGCTGCAATACAATACGAGATGACTTGAATTTTCTTCCTTTTGTTTTATTTAAAACTTTATAAAGCTGTCTCGAGTCTACGATACAATTACTAAATTTTTTGTAAAATAGTCTCTTTTTGTTGCTTTCAAATTTTTTTCAGTTCTTGTCGTTCTCTAATAAACTCTTCTTTTTTACTCGAATTTTCCTGTCACATTTCCAAATTTAATACAATTCTTTCCTCCGCAGAAGGGAGTTTTTAACTTGTTTAGTAAACCATAGAGCATTTGAATTTTTATTTGGATGTAGTTTCGCTGAGGGGCAAACTCACTTATTGATTCAATTAGGTATTCATTAAAATTATTGTGGGCAGTATCAATATTATTTTTGTTGACAATATTTGATATTTCAAATTTTTGTTTTAACTTAATCAGGAAATCAGCCAATTCATGTTTCTTCATTAAAAAAGACATATCACGAGATGATTGTTTTACAAAATTTTCCCAGTTACGATCTCTTATTAAGAAACATTAAGAAAATGTTTCTTTATTTTTTTGAGTAACTGCTCGGAACAGTCTGTGATTCTTGTACAGCAACCGGCTACTCTTGTTAGTTTTTTTGTTCTAGGTTCGACGTGGTGGCTGAGCCCAAGCAGGAAGACGGGTACTGTGCGGATGTTGGTTTTGTGGAAGTGAGTGTGTTGGATCTGCTGAATAAAAACGAGAATATAATAGAGAGGGACTTCGACTTGAGAGACGCAGACACCGATGGACTGCAAGTGGGCTCTATCAAACTCACTGTCAAGGGACTGAGTGCACTGAAGAGTGTGTACAGTGAGCTGAAGGAGAAAAAAGACAGAGCCAAATTACTCGACAATTAACTGTCTTAATCCAATTATTAGCACCACCCACTACTCATCCAAACGTCAAACTAGCAGAGCCCGGGTGAAAACCACTGGGCAATTTCCGAAATGTAGTCGATCAATTGATAATTAGAAGTGTATTGTCTTGGGTTGAGTTTCAGGGGGGCGGATCTAGGGTTTTCTCGAAGGGGGATTTTCTAAAAATTTTCCAAAATTTTGTCGACCTTTTCCTGGTCAACCAATTTGATTTTCAGAGCTCCTAAATTTTGATTCCTAAATCAGTACACTGACTCTATTTTAACCGTTCTTTTTAAAAAAACAGGCAAAAAAACGCGTTTTTAGGCGCCTTTAGAAAAATTTTAGGATCTTTTAGAGAAATTATAGGCGCCTTCATAGAAAGTTTTTAGGGACATTTAGCCAAAATTGGATGTCTTAAAATAGTACTAAAGGGGGACCCTTTTGGTCGGCATCCGCCCCCCACCCCTAAATCCGCCCCTGTCGAGTGTATTTTGCTCTGCTCTTTGATGTTGTTCTAGTAATTTACCATCTGAGCAAACTGGAAATCTGAGTTAAGACATTTAAGGCCTAGCACAGGTAAACAAACACGTATTTGACGCAAATTTCAATTTCAATCCTAAAACCAGTGATATCCTTTGTAGATACCATTTGAAGGTTGAAGTTGAAGTATTTTGGTACGATGATGTTCTTTGCTGAGATTTAAATAGTTCATTTTTTGCGTTAAATTTGTCGATTCATGTTTGTAAAAGAATTTTGCAGCGTTTTGAAAAATTGTAAATAATTGGCTAAATTGAAATGTACAAATCAGAATTGATGTAAATAATTTTAACAGTATATTAGATTGATCAAAAATACAACATTTAAATATGTAAATGTCTATGTAAAATAAATTCAATTTCTGCTATACTACATTTTGATATGACGTCAAGACGTTTGAGATAATTTTCATAGCTTCAGTTAGGATTACAAGTTGTAGTATTTTCTCTGGAAAATGTGCTATTCCTTCTTTCCTGTACGCTAATGAGGGAATAGTTACTAATGAAAAGACACAATAAAGATTATAATAAAAGTGATAGAAGCTATGATGATTAATATCAGCTATAAATGTGACAGTTTCTCTGATGAGTTGACCCTCAACGTTTTTGGCGTGTTGTCATTTGGGGAAGAACTTGAATTTCATTCTCGCGAGTTGACGCGTGATAAAATTAACATGGCCTAGTGTCTTTGCAGTATCGGCTGTCCGCTAGATCTCTGTCTCCAGGGCAAGCCTTGCCCCCGAACTGAGCCTGCTCGTAGATGGACCTCTGTCTAGTCTGTCTCCCCTCCCCTCTTTCTCCCCCTCCCCCTCTGCAAGTGCCCCCGGAACAGGAAGACCACTCGGTCCATTGACCAACCACACAATCCTTTGCTGCATCAAACGAACAAACTTGGAGTTAAATTCATAATTTATAATCACGGTAAGCGAAAACAAATGACACATTGTTTGGGCCGGAACGAGAAAGATGAACGAAGTCTTACAGAAACAGGAATCCGGATAACCAAGGACACATTAACAGCTGTTTATTCCCCTACCACCTTCCCCCCCCCCCCCGCCCAAAAAAAAATCTTCATCCCTTCTACAACCATTCTACAACCACATTTTCTCAAATCCATCGGAATCTGATGTCAAATTACCTTGAAATGTTCAATTACATTATATAAGGTTTAAAGAGTGAAAATCATATTTTTATGCCAAATTTCTTGTTACTGTGAAGTTTGAACTTTTCAATTGAAGAAAATCAAAAAGTGGGATGTACGTACGGTACCTGCAGTTGTAAAAGTCAATGAACGTAGCCAAAAATCTTATAAAGGGTTACTACAAATCCATCTCTATTTCTATTCCACTTGCACATCTCATCTGTAAATCAACAGCTGGCTTCAACGCCTGAATTGATATTTGTTTTACAGCTGAAAAAAAAACTTTTTTTTGGTTGTAAGTGATTGTCGGCTTTATGGATTTCGCCAATTTTTGCCGGGTTTTTAATTCTAATTTTTTTGGTAAATTTTTTGAATGCTTTTTTTCTTCATTTTCATGAGGGTAAATATAGTTCATAGTTTTTTGGTTTTTATAGGCGCCAAAGTTTTCTGTTAGAAAAAAAAAACAATTTTGAATTTTTTCGCAAAAAATTTTAGTCGGATGAATGTTTTCTGATTTTTTTGTTCTAAAAGTGCGTAAATTAAGTTAAAGTTAAAATTAGTTAATTGTGTCTTAGGTTTGAACAAATTTAATTAAAATTGATTGAAGTTGATGGTTTAACGTATTTTTTCAATGTGTCAATGCAAATTGATAAATTTCTAGATTTTCTTGCAAGATAGACTATTATTTGAATATTTTTCGTGTTTTTTGGCGTTTTTTTGATGTTATTTTTTTGTTGTGATCTAGCTCTCTTACCGTTGCGAATAATTTTTGATGTATTTGGGCTATTTTCATAGGCTTTCAAATTCTATAGGTTTTCGGCAAGTTCTTTTGTGGCAATTGTTTGTAATTTTTGCGTTCTTGTTTTAGAAATTTTGTTTTTCGTTTTTTTTTAATCTTATGCTAAAGCAATTAGTGGAAGGGCCTTTAACTCCCGACTGTTCTTGTTGGATATGCACATTGTCTAGTTGCAAGGTTTAATGAACAGTTTTCGAGTACATTTTCGTGGCTGTAAAAAAACAGAACAACACAAAACAGTCCGGAAAATTATGAAAATGAACGAAAAAACAGTCCGATTCAAAACAGTCCGAAAAACAGTGTTGCGAGCTTGCCAACAGAGGTTAGTTTTCTATACGAAATTTAGAACCGCTTATCGCCGCGAAGAGGGGACGCGCGCGTAGTGCGCCTACCAGCGACCTTAAATCGGACTGTTTTGTATTTGACTGTTTTGAATGGGACTGTTTTGTATATGCACCGGGATTATTTGTATCTCAATTTTTTGATCGAAATTTCTTTATCGTTTTCATCTATTGGTTATCAGAAAAAAATGGATAGAGTTAAGCCCAATTCTTATTTTTGTTTTGAACGTAATTGATTTTATCACATTTGCAATAAAATTTTGTGATTTTTTAGCCTACAATTTCTTCAACAAATTTCATTCAAGTTTTTCAATTTTCAAATTTGAGGCACATTATCCTTTGATTCGAAAATTTGAAATTGTCGACCTTTTGGTGGGGCAATGTCAGGGGCTTCCCAGCACTTGCAGGTGTGGCATACATACCTTTGGTTGCTCAAACTTTTTAAATTTCCGAGATCTGATGGTGATAATACAAAACATTTAAAAAGCTCAAGTTTAGAAATAATTCGCAATTTTTTGATCTAGAAACGATAGAGCAAAGAAATTTAGAGCAAAAGTTATTTATCTATTTGTAGTATTTAGAAAGTTAAAAAAAATTTCATAATTAAAACTCGGAAAAAGAATTTAGAAAAGTCGAGTTGATCTTCCCAAAAACTGACAGCAATTTATTCACCCTAACTGTCTATCAAATTTATATTGCTTTATGTTGTAGTATATCTGCGTTCGTCGAAGCAGCTCGCTGCGTTGGATACGCTTGTTTGCATAATAAACGGCTACCGCAAAAGTTGACATTTTGTCATATAAAATTTCTTAAATCAAAAATTACTCTCCAAAATTGACGTTTGTGTTTTGCGTACCAAAAATGGAATGTTGTGGGGAGGGGTAAACGGTAGAAAAGCCAAAATTTGATGAAGTTTGGTGGATTGCTCACCACATTCTGGTCCCAATTGAAGCACACAAGTAGTCTGTTCCTCCGCGAGTCCACTGTTTACGTTGCAGTAGACTGGATTCGAACTGCTGCTCCTGCTCCTCTTCTGAGTGCCCCACTGGGAACAGACTCCGTTGCGGGAGGAGGCCTCACACTCCCCCCAATCACTCCACTCGCTCCACATGCACAGTCTGTTAATGGCCACTGTTACTATGGGTTATGTAGCAAAAAGTAGACACGTCATAAAGTAGACAACTACTATACTAATCAGAATCGAGAAAAAGAAGCAAACTTAAGAAATAAATAATTATTTATTCCCTGAGTTTGCTTTCAGTTCTCAATTCTGATAGGTTAATATAGTAATTGTCTACTTTTTGACCTGATGAAATCAGGGGCGGATCTAGGATTTTCTCGAGAGTGGGATGGGGGGGGGGGATTTTCTGAGCTCTTCCCAAGCACTACAAAGGGGGATTTTCTGAGCTCCTCCCAAGCACTACAAAGACCCTGTTTTGGCCGAAATTTCTGCGCCGCTGGCAAAATTTTGAAAAAACAGGCCAAAAAGGCGTTTTTAGGCACTTTTTGGAAAATGTTTACCAAAAAATCGCGTTTTGTCGGCGCGCGCTCTACCCTCAAAATTAGTACATATTGGCGCCTAAGGCGCCCTTAGAAAAACTTAGTGTCCGTCACTAAAAATGGATATCTCAAAAAAGGGGGACCCTTAGGGTCGGCAGTGGGGTCGAATCCCTGAGGGGGGAGGTGTCCGCCCCACCCCCCCTAAATCCGCCCCTGGATGAAATAAAAGTTGTCTACTTTTTGACCGCGCTCCTACTATATATGTTAGACGGGACCCACCGATATTCAAGAATAATAGATGGTCCCAAGAAACTGCTTTTGTGATAGCAATTTATTGAAAACATCTTGAAGATCATTACATTTTTTTCCCAAGAAAGCTAATAATTTATCACTAATTTCATATATTGACCTTCCACGGAGGCCTTGAATCTGTGCACCTAATTTAAACGAGTACCGATTTGTTCAATTTAAGCACGGTTTTATGATAACATTTTTTGCGCTTTAACTTGTGAAGATTGTTTTTTAACGGAACTTGTTCACCATAGTAGTATTGATCTACTTAACAATCTCCACCTTATGGTATCTACTTAAGAATCTCCCCCCTGTGAATAAATACAGTAAATTAGCACAGCGCTTTCTATTGCAGATTCTAATTTTGCTGCTTTCTGATTGGTCGAAAATTCGACTGTTTTTATCTACTTAAAAATCTCCCCCCCCCCTTTTTTAAGGGGGGAGAGATTGTTACGTAGATCCGTAGTATTACCTATTGGTATCTAAAGAACCCTCTCCAATGTGTTCATCCGCATAGTCGTACCGCGAGGGGTCCGTCGCCTCGTCCCCTGCCGCCGGAGCAAAACCTGGATCGTAATCTAAAACAAATACTGACTGAGTTTTTTCCGACAAACTGAAGTTTTTCGAATTTGATTTTCACTCTATGGTTTAGAGTTATCAATTATCATTATAAACTAGCAATGCTTGGGTTACAAAATCAATCCTGTTTTCCAGCCTAACTTGCAAGTTTGCGTTGAAGTTCTAGGTCTATATGGAGGTGAAATTTCATAAGGTAAATCATTAGCATCGAAACCACTCTCTGAAGCAAAATGCATCCGCTTAAATCAACCTAAGTCGAACTCGTGGTTTTATGTTCAGACAATATCGTGACCGTTTATCGCTATTTCTAGACTAACGCGATCACGAATGGGATTTTTCCAGACTGTCGCGACCAAAAAACAGCGTTTTCAGACTTTCAACAGGCGTTATGGAATATAATTTTTCCGCGATGGGTTCGACTGAATGAAAATGGTCCGTCACCGAATTGAAGGAAGTCAAAGTTTCCTCCACTATATTGATTGAATCAAATGGTTGACGAGAAGTCAAGTATGTGACAAGAAGCTTCCCGACTTTACCATCCGACAATAATTTCCCTTTTATACACTATTTTTATTTTAGGAAACTCCTACATTAGTCTAAACTTTTAAAGTTTTAAAAAGCGGTCCTGAAACTTCTCGCGCTCAAAGCTATACAATTCGATCAAAAATTTTCGAGGCATTAGCTTTGTACGCATCACAGAAAACTTTCTCGTTTTGGACAAATTACAGAGCTTTTAGCGCGGAAAAGCGATGATAAAAAGGAAAGGGAAATGTGAAACAGTTAGAAAAGTTTCTTATAAATTGTTTTTTTTTCTGTTATCAGCTTGTCATCTATCAATTTTTTGTCGGCTTAGTGGCCGCTTTAGAAATTGTAAAAACGTATTTAGTGCTGGTATTTAAATTATCGTTTGTTTTCTGAAAATGAATTAACCTTTCCAGAAAAAAATCTCGATTAGGCCATCAACAACATACTCAAGACGAAGCCAAAAAAATGCTCATTTAACAAAAAATATAGAATATAAGCATAATAAATTCTTAGACAGATGCGAAGCTCAGCTGCGCTTTACTTCGCATCTGTCTAAGAATTTTTTTGCTTTTGTTTTGAGTTTTTCGTTTAATGAGCATTTTTTGGCGTTCGTCTTGAGTATGTTTTTGATGGCCTAATCGAGACGAGTTTCAGTTGGGGACAATTTTTTTGGAAATAACAATTTTCATAATTTTCTATTTTTTTAAATATATATTTAAAAAAATTTTGTGCTATTTTATGTTTTTAAAAAATGCGTACCACTTTATCAGACCAATCATAGATCCCCAACCTAAAACCAGACTTTCGATGCCAGCATCCTTCAAATCTGATACCCAAAGTTTTACAAAGGGTACATTTTGATACTTTTTTATGTATACTTTTACACCAAAGGCTGAAAAAAGTAATTGGAAGGTCAGAATGGTGTTTTTAAAAGGCATATTCAAAAAAGGAGGGTAAATTTTTCAGAATTTTGCTCTTCGTCAAAAATATTGCGCGCAGCACCACTGGGTGGAAATTTGATAATATCTAATGGACCGCCAAAATTTTGTTCGACTAATTTACGCATTTGTTCAATATATTGTTGATTGTAACAAAAAATGCTTGTTTCAGGTTGGCTGTAACAAGAAAACAAAATAGTTCAAAAAGAGCTTTTAACTAGATATTGACTAAATTAACAGTTCGCTTAGCCCCTCGGTCAAATTGCTTTTCTTTACAGCGAAGTTCAAAATCCAAACGCGACAACTAAAGTTTTTTCAGGTTTTGTGTCTGCAATCAAGTTACCAGAGCTTAAGTTGTTTTGAATTTCAAGTTAATTTTTTCATCGTTCCAAAAGCCTCGGCCATAAAATTCAGGGTTGTTTAGAAAATATCAAGAATAGCTGTAAGAACATATCATTTATTAAATAAGTGAATAAGGTTTCTCTTTAGCTGCAAAACAATTGTACCAAATAAAAATCAAAGAATTTTGGCTCAAAAAGCAATTGCAATTCGAAAGTTAGGTATTATCGGTCTTTTGAAAAAACTCTGTTTTTGAGGTATCAATTGCTGTTTTTCATTATGCAATTTTTACGTATGATGCAAAAAGTTACTCTGACCTGAAGTATTGCATACAAGAAGCGTGAAAGCGGATAATATCTTTCCTAAAAATTTTTTCTTTCAAAATTTTTTTAAAAAGACAAAATTTTGAGAAAGTGTTTGAATTGTGAACATACACATGCACCAAGCTTTCAGAGCAACTGCAAACACAACTTTGTTTGTTTAATTTTTTTGTCATTTAAATAAATATTTTTTATCTGGTGCATGCTTTCAACATAAGCATGCGTCAGATATGGTACGTCTGTTGTGGGGCGGAGCAATAAATAAATTTGTTTAGCTGAAAGGGTCTAGAAGCAGAAAACGGAAAAAAGTTCATTTTTGTAGGCTAATTGTTGAAACAGATAGTCAAAATGACAAAACTAAAAAATTCTACATCAATTGAGCTCTTCGATTAAAAGCTTGATGAAAAAATCAATATAAGTATAAATTGTTCATTTCAGTTGTAGAGTTGACGAATATGGTATTCGATGTGTCGATTAACCGTTATAATTTAAAAATTGTCGGATTTTTTGTTTGCTGATATTCTCTGCTTTGAGACAGTTCTGCTCATTGACTTGCTCGATTTCCCGAGCAAAAAATAGAAGGCTATAGTGAAAAAAAACAGGCAAATATTAATTTATACGGGCGAATCGATAAAACAAATAGCATAAATGTCAATGCTACCAATAAAACTAATAAAAATAAACTTAAATTCAATAATTTCATGAAGTTTTTTGCTGAATTGAAAAAAACTGAATAAATTTCAAGTCAACTCACTCTTTTTGTTGTTGTTGACAGTTCTAATGCTTGTTTTACGTGTTAGCCTACAGAAGTCACTATTTTTCCGTTTTCTGCACTTTCACCCTTTCCGCTCTTAGACCATTTTGGTAATTGCTTCACCTCCAGAACAAGCTTAATATTTAACTTTCGCAATTGCTTTAAAAATGGCCCATGTATAAAATTACAGTCGTTCATAAGACAAAAAAAATAAACAAACTGTATTGCTTTTGCTCTGAAAATTCAAAACATGCGCATTTTAACAATCTATAAAAATTTCTATAAAAACTTTGCCTATGTTTTCAAAAAAAATTCTGAATGATCTTATAGGCTTGTACAATTCTAGTGTCCAACATTTCAGATGAGAGTAGTTTTTTTCTGATCAAATGAACGAAATGAACTTTGGTGGACAACAATTTTTAGTTTAAAAATAAAAATAAGTCTTGCACGAATAGAATAGCAATTGCTCTTTTGTGTCAAAATTGTTTTCAGCTCAACGATGAATGATATATTCTCACAGCTTTTTTTTTGATATTTTCCAAACAATCCAGTCTTTTAATACCGAACATTTGAAACAATCGCAAAAAAGGGGCTCCTAATGATATGTAATGCAACAATCTTTGTCCAAATTTTATTTTACTGGCAAGTTTTGAGAAGTTTTTTTCAGTCGAATTTGTACAAATAGCCTGACTATCAAACTTACCTAAGCTTTAACAACCTGCTTGTAGGCACGAAATTTGACAAATTTCAGATATCGTGGTCGAGTTACGAATTTATTCAATTGAACCAGCGCACTCATCATTATTCGGACCCTTATAAGAGCCACCGTTTTTCTTTTTGACGTCAAGTAGTTTTTCAACAAAACAAAATGAAAGTTTTGTTCAAACTCTCTATAACTTTCTTTTTTGTTATGATTCTTTTTCTTGGCCGATGAGTTTGTAAAAATCATATAATTTTATAAGAATAACATAGAAAACGAATAGGAATTTTTGACGCAATTTTAGTCTAGGTTTTTGTAATGACAAATTTTATGTCAGAAAATGCTCCATAATTCACTGAAAATTTTTTTGAGCTAAATATTTTTGGCGGCGTGTCTGTGCAAGACAGTCCCATACAAAATAGTTCAATACGAAACATTTGAGAAAAGTATGAAAAAGAACGAAAAAACAGTACAATACAAAACGGTCCAAAAAACAGTCCCAAGTGATAATTGTTTATAAAAGCTGGTAGGTCGACAATTTTCTTTTGTTCAAAAAACTTAACCAACAAAATAGTGTCCGCCGCAGTCGCGCAGCAAACGTGTTGCAAGCTTGCGAACAGGTGGGACAAAAATAAGAGCCGGTTATCACCGCGAAGTGGTGACGCGCGTGCAGCGCGCCCACTGGCGACCTTAAGCCGGCCAGTTTTGTATTGGACTGTTTTTTGTTCGTTTCATGATTTTTATGAGGATGTTTTGTTTTGACCTGATTTGTATGGGACTGTTTGGTATATGCACCATTTTTGACTGTTTCTTCTCAGTTTAAGGACGAATGAATTGAGTACAAGAAAAAAGAAAGAATAATCTATTTTTTTCAGTCTCTAAATTGGGTATTATATTGCAGAATATATTGCTCGCTGAAAGTACAAGTTAATATAAATACATAAAAAGATAATAAACTGCAGCAGAATTTTTTTAAGTTTTAAAAAGCGTTGAAGAGATGTCAGTAAAGTTGTTCGAAAGTACAGAATTGTGGATTTTTAGTATAGGGTGTTTGTCTGTCGAGTTGCGTAAATAACACTTGCGATATTCTTCCAGATGAAGAAAATCTTCAGTCGGTATGACCTAAGCATAGAAAAGAGTTCAACCGAGTTAAATGAAACAGATTAGCATGAAATTAGCATGTTATACGTTAAAACGAAATCGGAAAAGGAAATCGCGTTTAGTAGAAGGACAAACAATTAAGCATTAGTCAGTTCACTGAATATTTCAAAAAAAACTTTACGATTGCGAAAAATGAGAAATGTTGGTTAGTTTGAAATACAGCAATTCAAAGATGAAGAGCGCTGGTGAAGCTGCCAAAATCTGCCCCTGTATGTCGAAAGGTTGAAGGTTCGAGGCCCACCATGATCCGTGTTAGTTTTTCCACAGGGAAGCTAACAATTCTCATCACACAGAAAAAAATCAAGACAGTGCTTGTAGTTCTTAAGCAGGGCGGGCAGAGTAGCGCCTGTTACTAAAGATCTGAAAGCCTCGTATGCCGTTCCTTTTGCTGTCTTTAAATCTATACTATAGACACTGTCCTTAAATGTATGACCTCTGCCCATTAAAGTATGGCTGCTGTCCTTAAATGTATGGCCAAATCTGTATGTGTGAAAATGTTTACATGTTTTTTTTTTAAATTAAGGACTGAATTGGTCTAAATTGACATTGACCACGTGAAAAATGAGCAACATTAAGTAAAACATAAAGTCTAGATTAAAATACGGAAATTTCCTGTCGAGACATGATGTTATCTCGTTTTTATCGAAACTTTCAACTTGACTTAGATCTCGCGGCATAAATCAACAGCAGAGCCGATAGCGGAGAAGATTTGAGAATCTGCCGAATAAAGTTTTAGCTAAATTTTGAAACTATAAAATATCAACAGGTGTGAAAATGATAAGAAGTTCTTTGACTCTCTGCCCGAGAAATTTGGATCGAATCCCAAGTTATCAACCAAACCCTGATTACTCCGAGAGTTCTGGCACAAAGCGTTTGCTCATTACAAACGTAGTTAGCAGACTTAAAAGTATGCGCTAGTTTTGTGTCTAGGTTTTAAAATGCCATTAGTCAAAGAAAATTTATGCTTTTTTCACATGTTTTCAATTTCAATTTAGGATAGTCAAAACCGAAAAAAAAAATGCGTTTTCGGATTTGACAAATTCGGATGAGAATAGTAGCCATATAGTTAAGGATGCATTTGACTATAGTAACTACTAAATATTTTTGAAATGGTGGCCTTGATGCTTCCGGAATGTGCGGAGCTTCTACGCTATCAGGAGAGCAGTTAGATGTTGGATTGGATATCTATCTCATAATATTTTTGGTGAGTTCACATAGCCCCTTCCAGAAAAGTAATGGTCAAACCATTTCTCGGTAACCGGAACAAAACGTGCTAGCTAGCTGAGATAATTTTCAGTAATCAGATAAGGTTTATTATGAAACTTTTTGTGGAGCTCTGTTTAGATTATTAGGCTCGCACCAAAACGAGTTCTACGAGCTTTTTTGTTTATAAAAACGTGGGGTTATTCGTTAAAACACTCAGAGCTTCCTTGCAATGCTCTTTTTGGTTAAATCACACGATCAGTTACTGTGAATTATGTCAATAACGGTGTTTGAGACCTTTAATTCTATCGGGTTTCGACCAATTGGATGGATTCAAAAACGGACCAATCAGATCCCAGTATAAGAAGGGAATTTGGCGGTGGAATCAGCACCCCTTGAGAACCGTAGTGCAGTAGGCGAACTGGACTAGCTCATGAGTGGCACACTTGTCGACTGAGCTGACGACTTCGCGATTGCGATGGATGGAGTCGCTACACTTCTCACAGCGGCCCCATTCGGACCAGAACGACATGAGACATCCCGGCGACACCTCCTCGTGCGGAGTGCGCTCCTCGAACGGGATGACAGCATCGTCCCCTTGGTCTGTATTCGCACACCAGATATAAAAACCGTATACACACCCTTAACCCTCTTAAATTTAGTGGCTCATTTCAGACGCCCCCCGCCTCATTTTGCCCCTGATATCTTACACACAAAGTGTCGTAATAAATGTGGGACAAAATAATGAAACATGCCATATTCATTTAAAAATAACAGATCTGGTAATCAATGATTCCCCCTCCCCTTCTTCTCTTATGCTGTCAATTAAAAAGTGCCGATCACTTTAAAGGACTATTGAAATTCTTCGGTTACTGAATCCGCTGCTTAACCCTAAAAATAGCTTTGGCTTCTATCTGATCCGTTTCTACTTAATACAGTTTAAATGTCATTCGAAATAGTTCAAAGTCAATTCGCTGAAAAGCAATGCGATAAGTCAGTTCAGAGTTTCACAGTTTTGACCAATATGGCTTAACCAACCGACTAAAATCGATCTGAAACTGATATTTGATACGGTGAATTAAAAAAATCGCAATGAATACGTTTTTTTCTCTATTTTTTCACGCCATTTTATCTCGTCGAAAATCTTTAAATGACTACAAAAATTTATCAATTTAAAATTTCGGAGGAAAACCAGGTGGCAGTATTTCTAGAGCAAAATGTGAGCTTGGAGAATCCCTCATAACCAAAGGACGGAATGCCTGAAAATAATGGTTGCCAACCAGATTTTAGAACTCAAAAAATCGATGGAAAAAATTAAGTCTGTGGAAAATTTAGGCCATTTTGGAATGATAATAGTGGGACTCACTGGCGCTGAATGCTGGGTTGTAGTTGCTAGCTTGGCATGCATCGTCTCTCACAGCTGTACGAATCAAATCCACACTTGCGAATCTGGGGATAGAATTACGCACCTGGAGCAAAAATGACAAAAAAAATTACATAATTTGAATCGCAACTGAGTAAAACTGTTGGCGCATTACGGGGATCGAACACCGGAGCTCTATCTCTCGTCTGCTCTCTTACGTCTGCGGACGCTTTTACTCACGGTCCCCCTTTGGTACTTTTTGAGAAATCCATTTTTGAAGACGGACCCTAAAATTTTTCTAAAGGCGCCTTTGAGGGGGAGCGCGCGCCAAAAAACGCGATTTTTTTTGTCAAAATTTTTCAAATAGTGCCCAAAAACGGCTTTTTTGACCTATTTATTCAAAAAATTGCCTGCGGCGCGGAAAATTTCGTCAAAACAGCGTCTTTTTAGTGCTTTAGGAGAGCTCCGAAAATCAATTTGGTCGACCTAAAAAAACGGCTTTCAAAATTTTCCAAAACTTTTTGAAAATCCGCCCCCCCCCCTCGAGAAAATCCTAGATCCGCCCCTGCATATTATAAAGTTTTTTACTTCGATTTTTAAACCATAAAAAACCTTACTCGGATTGATTTTAAACCCTACTCGATTTTTTTAAACCCAAATTTCAGCAACTCTGGTATTGTCCCCTTATCGCAATATGTGTGAGGAACCTGTTCGAAGAAGGGGGAGTCGGAGTTGTTGCGGTTGAGGTAGCGCAAGTCTTGGATCTTCTGCCGCGTGACTAACTCCTCCCTCGAAGACTACACAAATGAAACAGACATCATTAATCGAAGAAAAAGCAATATTTATTTCGTGATTTTCCTATTCTTAAATATTTTTGACTTCTATTTCTGATTTTTAGGAAAATTTTCAAGTTTTGAATTTCAAATAAATAAATAACTTTAAAACTTTTAAATTCATGTCTGTACTACGATTGAAACAATGCCTGATTTGAAAAAACTGGGTCAAAAATTTGATGGGTCCAAAAATTTTTGTTCTGATGGGAACTCCTAACTTATTATTTACTTTTGAAATTAATATTCGAACCGAACCCATCAATCACACTATTTGCATTTTACTTATTGGAAACGCAAAATTTTGAAGGAAGTTAGAGATATTTGTGCTCGGTGCGGGTTTTTTCTATTGAATTTTTCAGCCACAATTATTGTTAGATTTTTCATGGATATGACAAACATTGATATAATTAGCTCGCAGTTTTAACAAAAACTCAACTGCGGTCATTTTTAGCGTGGGGTTTGAAAATTGCCAATTATAGCGTTGGGCAAGTAATGCGCGCTAAATTTTCAATTTTTTATTTAGTGGTCAATTTTTGCGACTCAAAAAGTTTTTCTAATTTTTATAAATCTTGCTAAGTAAATCAAACATTGCACTATTAAGGTTGAGGTAGCGAAAACAATATCAGACATATTATAGGACTGGCGGAACATTCAGTACTTTGCCGTGATACAGAAAGATTTGTTTTTAAAAGGCAACAAGACTGCTCGTATATCAGTGCAAAGCCCTGAATGTTCCGACTGTCCCCTAATTCATATCGAATAAATTTTGGGAAAAGAAAATGTTGAAAACCTATACATTTTGGACAAAATCAAAGTGTAAAATAATACGACCAATTAGCTAGCCTCAATTCAATTTGGAACGAATTTGTTGTGCGGGATAATTCGCCAAGCATAAATAATTCGCGTTACGCTCTCAGCATTATGAATAAACTCATCAAAACGCGCATAATTTAGTCCACAACAAGGTCAGTTTGGCAATTTTCACACCCCCAGAACTTTACAAAAAATAATTGGAAGTAAAATAACTTTTTAAATGTGGACTCAGCAAGTCGATATCTTCAATGGGGTGGGGTATAAAAAATTTTGTTTAAAAATATTATTTCGATTCGATCGATGAAAAAAAAACCACACCGAGCAAAATTTTTCCATTTTCTTCAAATGTCGGAACAATAAAACTCCAGTAGAGTATTTGCCATCAAAAATGCTAGATTAATCGTAGCGAAATCTGTCACTATGTACCTAAGACGGCGTGATGGGGGATGATTTAAAAACATTCACAAATTTTTTTTTTAATGAACTGCTTCATTTACCTAAAAAGGCAATCGGAGTATTCAGGGCGTTGCTTTGATACGAGCAGTCTTGCTTTCTGGTGGGGTAAAAAATCAGCCTGGTAAAATACCTCAAAAGTCGGAACAACAGAATTTTCGGAACAGTGATTGCTTATGATTTTCGTGCCGAAAGTAAGCAAATCGGAGCAAGCGTGATGATTGAAAAGTGGCACCATAATAAGTCACATTCAATTTTTGTCAATTACCCTAATAGTTACAGCGCCATATTATAATGTGGACTTGAAAAAGAAAACGTCAAGCCGCAAGAAAATTTTAACGTGAACCAAAAAACACATCACCTTTTAAAAAAACGTGACATTTTTTTTGCTCAACAAAAAAATAAAAAATGAAAACAAAAAGTTTAAAACTCAAGCAATAGGATAATCACAAGGTCAAAAAATTTAAGACTAAAATGTTTGGACCTGGTCTGCTAGTTTTGGTATGTCTTACGAGGAAGTTGTCGCCGGAGTGAGTGCCTGCGTCTATGGGGTAGAGACTGAGGCTCACTTTATCCTTCCACGTGCAGTCTTGGTCACACAAGTCCACGGAGTTGAACCCCACAAACCTAAAAAACCACACAAAAACTATTACAACTAAATGCCACAAGAGGATAATTGGCGCAAATTTTTAAGCCCAAGTTGAATGGTTAGACTAATTTTTTTTTATTCGGAATTTCTTTAGTTTTTGACCAATTTGAAAAGCTATGTTGTTATTTGGAGTGCTTCCAGTTTTTTCTTCTTTAATGTTGCATTTTTTGTATATTGGGACTGCACTACAAGAAGGTTGCATTTTTAAATTCTCACAATTATTCTCAATTTTGTATCATATCCATACACATGATTGCGTATAGATCTAATATTTCCAAACTTTGTTGAGTAATTGTCAGTTAGTGGAATCGGAACGCTACCACTAACTGTAATTTTCCAGGAAGTAGAGAATTGTAACTTGAATTCACTAATAAAAGCTAATATCTTAAGTGAATTATATGGCAACTCAGTACCTTTGGATTTCAGAGACTTGAATTGATTTTCAAACCCTATTCTCTGGCCAATAATTTACATAAAACTAGCCGTAAAAATTTTCTTCAAAGTGGCCATTTAAAAAGTCGAATTGAGGCTAAAGAAAAAAAATCCACTTGAAGACAAAACACTTCATCCTGTCTTCGAAAACCAGAAAAAAATTGACAGAACTATCAGAGGATTTCTGTGACCGATGGTTTCATAAAAAAGGTTCTTAGCTTTTGAATGGGCTAGTTCGAGAGTAAGAAAGCTGATCGTATCAAGGTGACGAATGCAATAAAAGTGGAAATTTCATGCAAAACAATTACTGACTTTTGGCTAAATTGGCCAGTTTAAACCATAATATTTTAGTGATAATTACAGGTGAACTGTCTTTTTTATAGTTAACTTCAAAGTTTAGATGTTTTCCAGATGATTTTTAAACACTTCGTCAAGAACTGTCCCGGAAAAACTAAATAGATGTGAATAAGAAAACAACCCCGATAATAGATAACTCGTCACTTTGTTTGAGAGTCGTAAACAAAGCAAAAAAATAAAACTGTAGAATTAAAAACAATCGACGCTGAGATTGACACTCCCTTAAACAAAAATATACCTTGGATAGATATGATTAAGTTAAATCACTGTTCCTTGAGCTGTGAAAGTTTTCAGCTTAAAGTTATCAGCTTAACTAAACTCTAATTTGACGAAAATGTAAATTTTCATTATATGCATTGACATTGTCTATAAGCACGCGTAGCTTTTTTTTCCCGTTTTTTCTGTAATATTTCGAAAACAGCCGCGTGAAATTTTTGAAGGCCCCAAAACTGGTTGCCTTAAAATGCATCGTCAGACTCATCGGATGTACCACTCTCTTTAATTGCGAACGTCAAGCTCTAAAACAAAATTTCTTTGTTTTTTGAAAAAATCTGTTAGTCAAAAAACTAATAAATTGTTTGTGCATTTGGTCAGAAAAAGATGTGAAATTCACAATTACTTTAGGTGAAACATAACACGGCAAAGTTTGCTTAAAAAACAAATTGACAGAATCATAATGCACTACAAACCCAACTATTGTCAACGTTATCAAAAAAAACTTTCGTTGAACGAAGACCACTTGGAGAAAAATGTTCTGGGCTATATTACAATTGATGGAAACTTTGAGAGCTATTAGAGAAATACATGAGAACTAAAATACACGATATAATTATTTCAATTTCAGTAAATGGTACCATTAGGATGCCAAGCTCGGGTATTTTGGTAATGGTTTGGATTCCGAATGCATTGCCCCTTGGATTCGCATAATTTGTTTTGGATACCGCACTATTTCGAAACTTTTTTTGGAAGTCGGAATTCTGATGGAATCGAAAGATAAATGCTCACGCATTAGGCGCTAAAACTAAGTTTTGGTAGGCGAGCAAAAATTTGGAATCCAGTGACAATATGTATTTTAAAAACAAGAGGATTCCGCAGTAAATTTAGTATTTTCAGAGCTAACCGACAAAGGATGGAATCCAGCCATGAAAAGAAAAATTAACTGCAAAATCCACTGAAAAAGTTGTGGAATCCAGCGACATTTAAAGGAACTCATTTCTACAGCCAACACATAATTTGTTCCGGAATCGATTGACAAAAAAGAGCTTGTCGGCACTTCTGTAGGAACCATTTACTGCGAAATTTACACACAACAGGCTCTAACTCCCGCAAAAGATGTGTCCGTGGAACCCAGACGGGTGAAAGAATAAACACGTGCTTAGTTTTAAAACCGAGCTTGGCGCCGTAATGACATGAAACTAAGTTAGTTTTGTAAATATATTTGTCTGCCAGATAAAATGTTGTTTCATAAATTCAAAATTTACGATTCTTTTTCCAAATATTTTTGCTCTGAAGTAAATTATAATTTTTGTTCGAAGTATAACAGAGCGATCGAGATGTTTAACTCGAAACTGCCATTTTTTGTAATATATCACCAATTGCTCTTTCCTCTCCGTTGCATCATTATTCGAGTAGCTATCTTTGGTCTTGTTCTGTTCATCACATGTGCGGTTATAACTTATAAGCGTCGTCGAAAAACGTATTTGATGCAGTTAGCTGTAAAAAAGGCTCTTCCCGTTTGTTTGGAACCTTACTCAAGCACTTCGTTCGGTTTTCGCATACCATTCAGTCACCCCCCCCCCCCCCCCCCACCCCCATAAAAAACTAATTCAATGACCAAGCATATGTGAGTTTCGAACCCTATCACATGTGCTGTTATATTTTATAATGTATATTTATATAATATATAATCTATATGATGTTATATTTTAAAATTCTTACCAGTCGGGACTGGGACTGATAAAAGCGAGGAATGACGCCAGATGGAATTTCTTGTCCACCGAGAACTGTGCACTGGCATCGCCCTTGGCGTCCGCAATGTCTGGCATCCGGATCACAGTACGCACACTTCGAAACTATGAACAAACAAGCACACATATCTCAATAATATTGAGACCAGAGGCGCCTCGAATCCAGCTGCCAGTTTCTTGGGTTTCTCGTCTCGCAAAATGTTTTTGGTTTGATTCTTTCATGGGACTTTTTTTATATATAATTAACTATGTCAAAAATGTTCCTTTCTTGAGAAATAATTATTCATTTTAATATAAATGCTTTCCTTTTTACAGATGATGGAAGCTAAATTTGAAGTCAGATATTATTGTACAGGTGATAAGACACAAACGCGGAAATTGTCTAAGGGTCGGTCAGCTAAAAAAAGATGTCGTGCAATAGAACCAAAGGGGGACCCTTTGGATCGTGAGGGGTTCGAACCTCTATCCTCTTAAACTCGCTAGTATTAGGACATATGTGTTTGTGGTGTCTTACATTCTCCTTGAGGAAGTTCTGTATATTTCGGGGCTGTATTCTGCCGGAGGCGAGAGACATGTCGGCCCTCATGTGTTCGGGTGCTTGTTCCTCGTACCGCCACAGCGAGAATGTCTCGTCATGTGACGCCCCGATTAACGACTGCCATTTTGGAGTGATGTACTCTATAGTAAATAATAATAATAAAAAAAATGAATTTGTTTTCAAGAAGGAAACAAATCGATTATTATTTACACAACTCATAACAATAAAAAGCCGTGTGGGATTTTTTTATTGTTTTGATTTTTATTTTTTGATCCAGTTGTGTAAATAATAATCAGGTCTGTTCCTAGATGTAAGAATTGCAAGTTGATTCATAAATTTGCATTTAGCTCTCGGGGTGATCAAAACTTCTGATCTAGCACTTTTCAAAAGTTTTTGTTTTGGAAATTTTTTGAAGCTAAATAAAAAATGCGTATCATACATATTTTTTCATATCAAGAAATTGCATGATGCGCATTTTTTCCCTACACTTCATGCATGGAATTGTTTGATAAGCATTTTTTGCGTACAAAGGTCAGCCCAGGCTCCAAAGCCAATTTTTTGTTGGAGAGAACTATCTTAAAGTCAACTCAAAACATAGTTAAAATAAATTTAAGAATTTACAGACAGCTCCAAACCGAATTTAAAATTACGGTTAATGCGTTTAAGTTTTTCAGGAAATTGACAACCTTGCCACTCAAAGGGTACGGAATCCATTATTGGCCAAACAGCCCAAAAACAAAACTATTTTTGGCTCTTTTTTGGCTCTCTTTTGGCACTGTTTTTTGAAAAATGGCTCTTTTCGCACCAATTCTCAAAAATTTGTGTACAACGCTGAGTTTTTTTTGTAACGTAGGGTAATTTCTTTTCTGCAGTTCAAAAGAGCTCTGTAAATCAATGGATTCCATTCTAAAAAGGAAAAAAGAATAAAAATCGATTTTGTCCGCCACAAAAAAAACCTTAAATCCGCGCCTGATTAACCAAAACGCAAAGAAATTTAGTAGATCTGATAGTTAGTTCGGTGGTATATAAACCAGCCGAAGTCTGAACCAGCCGAAGTATCAACTTGCCGAAAATACGTAAATGTTATGCTAAAGTTATGTAACAATTAATAAGCAGTTACGAAAGTTGTGCAAATTCATTCTAATTATGTAATTTTTTGGCTGGCTTATATAATCCGCGCTTTTTCGGTTCGTTTATATTTCGCTGGTTTTATTTACTCTCAGTTAGTTCATTTTCAGATGAGATTGAATTATTTTTCATCTGCTATTTTATGATTGTGGATGATTTGTTCATACCGCGCTCGCTGCTAGTGTAGAAATCTAAGGGTATTCCTGAAAAAAATGACAGAATGACGAAATTACTCAAAATCAAATTTATTAAAACATCAAAGATGAGTCTTTTTCAGGATTTTTTTTGTCAAGGTTTAAAGTTATACAACATACCCAACAAAAACTTTGAAAAATGTCAATGAAATCAAGAAAACCGAAAAAATAACAGACTTTGAAAAAAATATGTGATCAGGGGCGGATTTAGAGGGAAGGAGGGGGGGGGGCGGACGCCCCCCTTCAGGGATTCGACCCCCTGCCGACCCAAAGGGTCCCCCTTTGATACTTTTTCAGAAATCCATTTTTGGCCGACCGACCCTAAAATTTTTCTAAAGGCGCCATTGGCGCCAATATATACTAACTTTGAGGGGGAGCGCGCGCCAAAAAAAAACGCGATTTTTTGATCAAAATTTTTCAAAAAGGTCTCAAAAACGGCTTTTGACTGTTTTTTCAAGAATTTGCCACAAAATTTAGCCGAAATAGGGTCAAAACAGTGCTTTGGGATAGCTCGAAAAATCAAATTGGTCGAACTAAAAAAAATAAAGGTCGTCAAAACTTTCGAATTTTTTTTCGAAAATCCGCCCCCCTCGAGAAAATCCTAGATCCGCCCCTGTATGTGATGTTTGAGTTTTAAAAAAATCCTTGAGCTCTTTTAACTTCAAGAAATTTTTATGACTGGCATTGTTTTGACAAAATTTACCCAATTAGAAAAGGTAAACTGGCAAACTTTTAATTACGCTGCAAAACCTAATAACTAAAATTTAAATTCAAACTTAAAGTAAATGGCGTGGTTTTTGCTCCGTTTGCCTATTCGTAATCAGCGAGCAGAAATTGCTTTCGTTTTAGAAAAAGCAGATATTGACTTCAGATTTACCTCCTGGATAAGTGTTTTCTTTTTGTTCATTGACACTAAAAAACTTTGGAGTTACTTCAAAACTCAATCTGAAGCTTAAAAAGATTTAGTTTTATATTTTAGTCTTTTTCACCCATTTTTGAGTCCTTACGAAATATGAAATTTTTTTTATTTTTAAAAGATAGGGCTGTCAACGAGTTTTTACTGGGTTCCAAGTTAGGCTTATAGATTTGCTTATTCCTTTCGAAAGTTGATTATTCAATTTTGGATCCCGGTATATATTCAAAGACCCAACTAAAGCAAAGACCCGACAAAGAACGTTTTTTTTGGCCAAGGATCCCAGGAATTTTTCCCAGAGAAAAAATTCAAAAATTACCTTTTGTTAGAGCAATTATAAATTAACTATTTTTTATGACAGCCGTTAGTTTGCGGATTATGAAAAACAAAAAGCAGCCACACACATTAAAATGGTTCCAGTTGGTTAGACATTCAGACAATCATTTTTAAGACGCCAAAACTCTCCCAAACTTTGGGGGATTGATAAACACTGAAAATTTCAATTGAATACTTCTGATAAAAACTTTTCCTGAAACTCGAAAGAACATCCATACCTTGATTTCGTCCTTCTAAAGGCAATGATAAACTTTATCAGTGATAATTTCGTAACTTATTTGAACTCACTACTCTGATTTTTCATTGAGCTTCAAGTTGAGATTATAATGATTTTACTGCTCACTTTTGTTAGCAAAAAATAAACTACTGATTTTTTTTAAAGCTGACAAAACGGAGAACAAGTCTTTGGACAGTCAAATGTAGTCCCTCTGAGCAACTCAATTTTCGGGAATAGCAATTGAATTGGAAACTTTCTCTTCTCAAAATAGCTTTGTCTACATTCTGGACTAAAATTTAGATATAATTTGAGATTTGAGCTTACCTGTCTGAATATTGTCTAAAATAGGATATTTTTGATAAGAGTGAAAAAACTCATACTAAAATAAGATAGATAGAACAAAGGAAAAAAATAAAACGAAAAAGTTTTTCATATTTGCTTGATACTCGCTTGTATCCTTTGGCGCAATTTTTTTTGATGAGTTTAAGAACAAGGTATACCAATAAGTGGAAGGAAACTATGGATCAATGTGGATTTTTTCTCTCGTGTTTTAGTAGCTGAGTACCCGCATCCAGTTTGAAGCGTTAATAATTAATTATTTTACAATTTTAGCATCAGTCTTACTAAAAATTAGAAAAAATCTTTTACAATCAATTAAAAGTTGACTATGAACTCTGTTTTTTTTCTGAAAAAAAAAAACAAATCATAATTAGTTATATTGCATTTCAATCAAGTAAACTCGATTGTTACTGCATTTTTTTTCGACTCAATTCTAATCGAATGTAATCGATTTCTTTTATCCCAATTTCTAACTTTTTAGTTATGAACAAAAACTAGATTTTAGTCGATTGTAATCAATTATAATCCCTTTTGTTTGCCTTTTTAGTCTGCAACCTTGCATCTAAATTGGTTATAATTTAAGCTTTTCATAGACGTTAGTTCGTGTGAAAAGGGGGAAAATTGTTTTTAGCAGTTTTCGAATCAATTAAATTAGTTTTTTTTTTTCATTTCTTCAAGATAAAAGTTGTTTCATGATGCACATTTTTAGTTTTTTAACCACCAAAATATTAGCACGTTCATTTAGTTTCATAATTTACTGTGCTGATTTAGGCTATCCGGTCAAAAACGCATTAAACTAGAACTTTAAAATGCCTTTCTTTTAAATTGCTTTGACTTATGGATAAAAATGGTGAAGAATATTTTTGCTTATAACTTCAGCAAAAATAAAATGGTGTAATTTGTTTTGCAAAGTTCATGCTCAATTTTTTACCCCAAAAGTGGATCAGATTTGGCTATTTTTAGTTGTTTAAAATGTACGCCGAAACTACCTGGTCATTCACTGACACAATTAAATTAAAGTGAGCCTCTTACCTAGCCCAATAAAAGTTAGGATGAGTATACTCTCCAAGACATTTAACACAAAATTTCATTTTTATTTGATAGACAAAAAAGGTCATTTTTGCTATTTAAAATACCAGCTTTGCATTTAATAACAATTTTTTATTAATTTGCAATTTTTTTGAATGGTATACCCCTGTTAAAGTTTGTTGAACTACATGAGAGGCTCATTGTGATATGATTGTGTCAGTGAAATCCCAGGTAGTTTCGGCGTAAACTTTGATTGAATAAAAAAAGCCAAAACTGATCCATTTTTATGGAAGAATTTTGAGCCCGAACTTTGCAAAGCAAATTGCATCATATTAGTTCAGCTAAAATTCAAAGCAAATTTTGTCTTCATCATTTTTCACCCAAAGTCAACCCATTTTGAGACAAACTAGTTTTAAATTTCTAGTTTAATGCGTTTGTACGGATACTTTAAATCAGCACTGTATTTGGAAAAAAAAATTTTTTTTCGTACCGCTAGAACCTTTCAACTAGGTTGAAAGTATTTCTATGAAACTTTGTTTTGTGGTAAATTCTTGTGCTCAAATGATTCGAATTATGACAAGATCTCTATTGTTTCGAAGTTTATTATTGACAGAAAAATAATAACCTACAAAAACAAGAAAATTAATAGGATTTTCATGTGACAATTTTTTGTTAGAATAAGATAAAATTATCGATTATAATGGGTTTGTTTTTTATATGATTTCTAATCAATTTTAATGGATTATAAAAGATTATAATCTGTTGGAAAATTTCACGATTATAATCGATTTTAAATCTTTCAAACACCTAGTTTTGTTAATAGTTGTTCAAATTTAATTTTCAAAAATCAGCATAATAACCCGTTATAATTGATATTTTAAGCCGCTACTTAAATAAATAAATAAATTAAAAAATAAATTGTTTCCAGGCTCACAATCAGACAAGTACATCATATTTGTATAAAAAGAATTTTTTCAACATTTTATTGGAATCCAAATTACAACTGTAATGGTTTTTATATGAAATCGCAAACTTGGATAAACCTAAACTTAAATGCGGGCAATAGTTGATAAGGATTGATTGTGAGTCCATATAGAAACCATTACAATTGTAACTAGGATTCCAAAGATATGTTTAAAAAAAAATTTTTTTAATACAAATATGGAACTCATCGAAAGGTAGCTATATTGGAGTTAATTATGAGACATTTGAAAACGCACTATTTGGTCTATTGGCGTTCTCTCAGGCTTCACTCTGGGATATAGTTATTACAAATATATTGCACTTGTCTGATTGTGAGCCTAAAAATAATTTATTTATTTTTGATTTATTTATTTAATTATGCAATTCCGACCAACTGGTGTCTTTAGGAAACAGTTATTATAAATATCTAGTACTTGTCTGATTGTGAGCCTGAAAACAATTTTGTGTTTTATTTATTTATGTGTTTATTCATTTAAATATGCAATACCGACCAACTGGTGTCTTTGGAATACATTTACGAATATCTTGTCTGATTGTGAGCCTAAAAATCATTTATTTATTTATCAGTTTATTAAATTAATTATGCAATATACTGACCAAAGGGTGTCTTTCCGTTGACATCTGTCTGCTGGTCCCACAGGGCGGCGAAGTTGATTCTATAGTTGGCTCTTCCACAAGCACAACACTGTCTGATCTGTGGGTTCGTGGCCAAATAGTCCGCCGCCGACCCTACACCCCACGAAAAAAAAACACCATCAAGCGACAGTACATAAAAAGGTGGCGCCCCGAATGATAGAAGGACCGAATGTTATAAAAATGACACTGGGACGATTCTGATTGGTAGAAATTTTCCAATTTTTTGCTCCTTCTATCATTCAAATCAGCCACCCAACGACAAGAAGAGCATCACGTAAGCAGAGTGTGATGTGGGATTGCTCATACCAGAAGGTTCCAATGCCCGAAAAATTAAATTCGCCAAAAAAATTCGGTTTTCTTAAATATATTACAAGGTTGCGCCGGAAAAATAGTCTGCTTTGGAACGTTTAGAAGAAACTTATTGGATGAACCTTTCGAGCATTCGGTCTTTCTGTCATGAAAATAGCCCTCAATTTAAAAAAGAGAACAGAAATAGTAAATGCAAGAATTCAAGTCAGTTATAATAGAAGCTTATAAACAAAAATGGTTGAAATCATCAAGCAAACAGTCATATCACAGAAATTAACCCAGGGGTGGATTTAGGATATTCTCGAGGGGTGGGAGGGACTTTCAAAAAAACCGAAATATTTGTCGATTTTTTTTCTAGGTCAACCAAATTGGTTTTTTGAGCTGTCCCAAATCACCAAAAAGACCAATTTTGACCAAATTTTCTGCGCCGCAAGCAAATTCTTGATTGAAACAGGCCAAAAAGGTAAAAAAAAAAAGGTTTTGGACAACGCTGACTAAAAAATCAGCGCGCATTCCCCCCTCAAAATTAGTATATTTTAGAATATTTTAGGGTCAGTCAGCCAAAAATGGATATCTCAAAATAGTACAAAGCTGACCCTTTGGGTCGGCAGGGGGTCCAATCCTTGAGGAAAGAAGCGTTCCCCCCCCCCCCCCCCCCCCCCTCTAAATCCGCCCCTGAATCAACTACTATTAGGAGCTAGTTAAACCAGCTTTTTGAAGCTTATTTTCAATTCAGCTGAATCATGCGAGGCTCTCTGTTATTATTGACATTTTTAAGGGCAATAAATTTGCAGGCAAAATGCGTATCTTGAAGTAAATTTACAAAACAGCTGAGCTGAAAAATTTCAGTAAAACAGTTAAACGAATTTATTGCAAAACTGCAAGTCGGTTATAATAGAAGTTATAATAGAAACTTTGAAACAAAAACTATTGAAATGAGCAAACAGTCATATCAGAGGTATCAACCTTTATCAGGAGCTACTTAAACGAATTTTTGAAGCTATTTTTTTAGTTTGGCTGAACGATGGGATGCTTTTTATTTGTAATAGTTGACATTTTTGAGACGTTCATGATTGTTGCAGGCAAAATGCGTATCTTAAAGTAAAATTATGAAACCGTGGATTTAAAGCTTTTAAAAGTTTCAACATTGAAAAAGTGCAGCTAGACTTTTTTCATCAAAGCCATATCTTATTTTAAAAAAAATCAAAACTTAAAGCAAAAAACATTTTTCTACGATTTTTTCTCCCGGTTTATCAGTTTTTGCCCGAAAATTTTGGTGTCTGGAAAATTTGGCGTAGACTGAGAAGGCGTTTAAATAACCATGGGATTACTAATAGTTGTCTGTAAAAACACTAGATTTAGTTGCTTGGTCAAAATCTTGTTCGAATTAGTCAGAACCGCCACGGTAAATACGGTTATTTATTGTGAAAAAGTTTGAAACACGACTAAAAAAACTTTTCAATCTTATAACCACACGACCCCAAATGATTTTTTGTGGGCCTTAAAATACCGTGACACAAAAAAAATAACTGAGCTCTTTCTCACCTGTGGTGATTGGAACATTACGGGATTTGAAGTTTTAGGAATATCGATTAGGTTTTGTTCCCATCAGTTACTGATTGAGCGAGAAGAAAACATGGCGTAGATTGCGTTTTTGTGCAAACTTAGGTAACTCAAAAAACGCTCGCAGTGTTCATATGTGATACCAATTTAGATCCCTTTCAGTCGTGACTCGGGTTCTAAAAACTAAAAAGTTTTCTCTGCGTCAAAAAACCTGGTCAGATCCAAAAACAGGGAACAGCGAAAAGAATTACAAGTTGTACATTAGAACTAGTATCTTATGATTTAGTATAATTATCCAGCGGCTTTATCGGCATCAGTTTATTCTATTTGAAAAAAAAAACACAAAACATTTGTTGAAAAAAATGTGACAAAAATTTAGTTTTTTATTTTTCTCTACTTTTTGCAGTAACGATTGTGGTAGTTTAAGTGTCGTTTAGTGACGTTTTGTGTTTTTCTGCCTGAAAAATTTCACTTACGTTTTTTGGTCAAGGAATGCTTTTAGAATGTTGATTGTGGCACATTTATTGGCCATGGCTCAGAGTTCAAAAAAATCACAAAAAGCCTCTGTTTCCAGGAAAACTTGTTGAGTATTTCTGGTCTTCAAACTAAACTTAACAAGAGTTGGCGCAAGTTGATTGACAAGTCTTTTTGATTAAAACTTGAAACTCTGCTATTTCTGTTATACAAGTTAAAATGGTTCAAAAATCTAGATTGAAGCATTGTTGGATATGCGGCTAAACCTTCTCGCCTTGTAAAAATAAATTCAAATTAGACTGATTTTAATTCTGAGAAAAATCGAAACTTTCATTTTTGTTTTGATTTTGTGGTCACAAAAGTTGATGCAAGTTGCGCAACACAGCAACCGGCTGCTCTCATTGCTCTAATTTTCGAAGAAAATGATGGACTTTTTGAGCTCAGGTAGTTTTTTTTCCAGACCAATTTCAAATTTTCAACGAGAATTGTTGAAGAAATTTTTTATCAATCAAAACATTATTGTTGTCCGAGGCTAAAATTTAAAAGATGTTCTACTCGTAATCATTTTTGAGAAACTATGTGGATTGGATAAGGCCAGTTTGGCCAATTTGGTAGAATTAATTCGTGCTATACTTAGAGCTTTTAACGTGTAAACGGCAACTTCATCCGCCTTAGAAATCGTTCAAAATTGAATTGAGTCTTTTTACTTGGTCTTCTTAAAACTTTGCTTAATGCAAAATGTTTCACTTTGTTTTTAACATAGCGTTCAGTGAGCTGATTTTGAAAAATCTAAATTTTTTTAATGATATTTGTGTGTTTTCATCGATAGTTTCATCAATTTTTCTGGGGAACTTTACTCTATAGAGCCTAAAAAACTGTTAAAAACCTTCAGGGCTTAGTCATCAGTATTCAGATTCAAAAAAAGACTGCCTTTATACAGGGGCTGATCTAGGATTTTCTCGAGGGGAGCGGATTTTCAAAAAAATTTCGAAAATTTTGTCGTTTTTTTTGTAGGTCGACCAAAATGATTTTTCGAGTTCTCCCTTAGCACGGTTTAGTCCCTGTTTTGGCCAAATTTTCTGAGCCGCAGGTAAAATGTTGAAAAAACCGTCCAAAAAAGGCGTTTTTAGGCACTTTGGAAAATTTTGACCAAAAAATCGCGTTTTTTCAACGCGCTCTCCCCCCTCAAAATTAGTATATATTGGCGCCCAAGGTGCCTTTAGAAAAATTTTAGGGTCCCTCGGCCAAAAATGGATTTCTTGAAAAGTACCAAAGGGGGACCCTTTAGCTCGGCAGGGGGTCGAAACCCTGCTGAGGGGAAGCGTCCGCACCCCCTCCCCCCAAATCCGCCCCTGCCTGTATACCAAGACTGCCTGTATACCAGGGCAGTGCCCTGAATTTTCCAACTGCACTTTAAAGCCAACCAAAAACTTTTTCGGTTTGAATAATTGACAAACTAATCGGGATTTTTTTCAATTTTTTAATCACCCACACGCTATGCAAGATTCGAAGGGTGTAAACATACCCTTCGAATCTTACATGGCGTGTGGGGGATTAAAAAACGTTTTTTTTTATGACAGGACTAAATTGCCGGTCTCAATTAAATTTGGAACGAATTAGTTTGCTTCTTTATCTGTGTTATTGGAACAACTGGTAAAATTAGTATTTTTCAAATCCCGTAGCAAAAAAGATAAGAAGTAAACTATATTTGTTCCGACTTTCGATACGAAAGTAACGGAATATTTGTGCTCGGGGTGGGTTTCTTTTTCTTCAGACAAATTTCGACTTTTTAACTAGCCATTTTTGACGGAATTTTTTTAAATATTATTCCAAAGCTATTGTTGTCCTGAGCTTGAGTTTGAAAAGATATTTCACCTGTGATCATTTTTTGTAAAGCTATGAGGGTTTAAAGATTGCCATTTTGGCCATTTTGACTAATTTGGGACAATTAACGCGCGATATAATTCGCGCTTTTAACGTGTAAGCGGAGATTTAATCCGTCTTAGAAATCGTTCCAAATTGGTTGAACGAAGCTTATTTGCCATAATTGAATTGTTACAAGGAGCGAAATATATCCTTTTGTACTTTATACGGCGTGTGGGGGGATGATTTTCATAGAAAAATTTACAAATTTTAGAAAAAAGCTTTTCATTTTATTTAATTTTTGTTTATTTTTTATGTTGTTTATGTTATTACTGCTCCATAAACGTTAAAAGGCAGTCGGAACTTTCAGGGCTTCGCCCTGATACGAGCAGTCTTGTTTTCAATTTGTGCTCAGGACAACAATATCTTTCAGGTGGTTTTTAAAAATTTCAGATAATGCAAAGCCATCCTTCAAGTGGATTTTTAACGTCTGAACATGTTAAATGACTCATCGGGCAAGATAAGGGCATAAAAACATGAAAGCAGTTTAACAACTAAGACATCAGTAGTCTTTTAATCAAAAATTCAATTTTTTTGTTAAACGGCTCAAAAGTTATGTTTTTGTTATTTTTCTTTGAAAAATAGATCTTGTTTACTTTAATTTTCTTAGCTTTAATATTGATGGTCAAAAAATTTGGGCCGTATATTCAATATTGACCATCAGATTTTGGGCCGTATATTTAATATTGACCATCAAATTTTGGGCCGTATAACAAAAAAAATAGTAGTAATATAGTAAGTTATACAGAATCGATATTACCCACCTTCACCCCATAATGTATCCACCTGTCGGAATGAGTCATCGGGCCCACCCGACGCGGCAGGGGACGAGGCTAAGAGGACGAAACATGAACAGACATTAACTACCAATCTAACCACTCTAAACGGCAATCTCACAACATTCATCTCCATTTAACACATAAGGGTTGCGATTAAATTGCAGTTGACAAATAACTCTGATTAAAATTCTAATTCTGTGATCGAACTAATATTTGAGCCGAACGGAAAATTTTGTGATCAGACTAATTTTGGGCGAAGTATCGTGGTCGCGTTAACTTTTACTGAAAATATAATTTTTTTATAAAAGAAAAATATGTATAATTTGAATTTGAATTGTAAAATACAACTGAGTTCACAAATTTGGTGGAGATTCGGTCACAAATGGAAATAAAATGGACCCATCAAATCCCAACGGGAACATTGAGCTCAAACTAAATGCCTGCCATAATAAAACCCCGTAATTCACCGAGAGTAACTCTTAAATTTGGCTTTCTAGCAAGAGCTTCTTGTGTTCTGTGAATTTACGGGGCTTTTCACAGAGTTAATAGTTGAGGAAGAGTTTTGGACGCACTGCTATTCAGTATTCACCGTAATAGAGACAAACTAAAGAATGGTTTTGTATTTAAACAGCAGGAATTCGAACCAACAGTATTTTATTACTTTTTAAGTATAGAAAGAGTGTTGTTTTGGTGAATGCTAAAGACTAAACTTCAGCACTCAAGCTCTTCAGACCACGAGAGAATTGTCTTGCCATGTTTAAAAGGTAGACTACATATTGATAAAAACCAATCAATCGTTTTGAAAATGATAGCTGAGCTAATCTTGAGTTTCTGTTTGAAGCTAAGAATTTATGGTCAATTTTGTGATACAATTGAAAGCGTTTTCATACAATTTTGTAAGTTTTACATCAAGGCCAGGGAAATTTATAGTTTCTTAAGAAAGTCGAATAAAATTTTGGCCTTCAAGAGTTTCTAGCTTTTTTTCAGAGCTGATATTAATAAAGTTTGAAAGCCGTAAAAAAGCTTTTTTTTCAAAACACAATAACTTGATCACAGAGAATACAGGTGGAGTATGTCATTTTTGGAAACAGTACATCAATATTTATTTCAAATGACCCGGGTTGACCAAAACTTCTTATCGTACAATTTTCATATATGAGAAACTTCTTGTCATACAATTTCATACAATTCCATACGTACAGAAAATTGTATGAAAACTCTATGATAAGCATTTTTCCATATATGAAAATTGTATGATAGGTGTTTTCCCATAAACCAAAAATTTTGATTTTTTCTTTCTGAATTTAGTTTCTGAAAAATTTTCGGTTGTGTTTGCAACCGAACACAAGTGACAAAGACCTTGGTTACTCATAACACCAAAGGTTGGACGGTCTTGCATTTACAATGCGTAGAAAACGACCTGAATTTGGCTGTCTTTCACAATTAATATAACAAAAGTAACAAACTTTTCTTTTTTGGCAAAATTTTTTGATGATGATTATTTCAAATTTGTGAATTTTCAAATTATCAGACATTGATCAAGGCATACATTAACACCCCATACAAAAGAAATAGGAATTTTCAGCGTTTTTGAAAAAAAAATTTAAGTGAAAAGAAAATAAAAGCCAATTTTATCGTATCCAGGACTACGTCAAAAATCGTAAAACTAGAAGGCAAAGATTATTATTTTTTAAAAAACACACATTGAGCACCACGGCTTGACAAAAAACGCTTACATTACAATTTCATACAATGAAAAAAAATACTTATCATTCAGTTTCATAAATCAAAAAAATATATGACAATAGTACGATAAGCATTTTTTTAAACCTGTCTGGAATTATTTATAAGCTTCACAAATTCTTTTTTTTCTTTGAAATAGTATCGAAAAAACCTGATCAGCATTTTGCCATACTATGAAACTGTAGGATAAACAACTTTAATGCTATGCAATTGAATGATACCATTTGTCTATAGTAGGAAATTGTAGAAAAAAAAACAAATTTTCGATGCAATGAAACTGTATGATAAGTATTAATTAAATAATATGAAATTGTTCGATAAGTCTTTTTCCATACTATAAAACTGTGTGGTGCACGTTTTCCTAATTTTATTGTTCGGGCTTTCGTAACCAAAATAACTGAATATTTCTGCTCGTGGTAGTTTTTTTCTTCAGACAAATTTCGACGTTTTAATCCGACATTTTTGGCGGAGTATTTTATATCATTCAAATTTTATTCTTGACCTAAGCTTAAATTTAAAAAGATATTTTCCCTGTGATCATTTTTTGTGAAGTTATGGGGGTTTCAATATCGCCATTTTAGCCAATTTGGGACTCCGATAACGCGCGATATTTCGCGCTATTAACGCGTAACCGGAGACTTAGCCAGTCTTAAAAATTGTTCCAAATTTGTAGAAAGAGGCTTATTCGCCATAATTGATTTGCTACTAGGAGCTATATCTATCACTTTGTATTTTATATGCCGCGTAAGGGATGATTTTCACAAAAAATTTCAAATTTTGTATATATTTTTTTCATTTTATTTTTATAACATTTAATTTTTTCATGTTACTACTGCTCTATAGACCTTAAAGGGCAGTCGGAACATTCAGTCTACGCCCTGATACGAGCAGTTTTGTTATATTTATCGGGAAAAGGTCTGTTTGAAAATCGGGGGGCTTTTTTGAGAACTAATGATAAACTTTTGCTAGATTTACGTTAAAAAAAAATAAAATAAACAAGTTTTTGATAATTATAGGATAATTATTGGATGAACATAAATTAATTATAAAAATTATGAATTGAATTGCTTCTCGCTACGCCCTGATAATAATTTTTCGTGCGTTTAAAAAATCCCAAAAATAGCAAAAATGTTTGACTTTTAATAATTAAATTTGATTAAAAATTCGTTCAAAAAGTCGAAATTTTCCGGAGAAAAAAGAGTGAGCACAAATTTCTGAATAATTTCAAATGGTAAACATTACTTACGGAAATAATCACAAGTAATGTTTAGGAAATGTTCACCTCAAGAAAAAACTTACATGAATAATGAATGCCTACGTTAAACTTAATCAATCAACATATATGAGGAGCTTTCTTACGGCAATTTTTGATACAACTCAAAGTACTTAGATCTCCTTGCAAACCACTCTGCCGCAATTACGTTTCATGGATAACAACCAAATATATAGGATTGTCATAAATTGTACGATTTCAACATGATTTCGATTTTTGTGAAAGAAAAGTAATCCATTTGAATCCATCATAATAGTTTATAATCATAATAGCTTATTTCTGTTTATGTACTACTTTCGCTTGTTCAAAATCGTTTTCTATTTTGGAATTAAACAAAGCGTGTAAGTATGGGACGATGAAAATTTTACCATTTACAAAAACTTGACTTTCATGGACTCTACAAAGAAACAAAAACGATTTCGCTTCGCAAATAAAAATGAATTTTAATCAATTTTAATGGATCAAAATGGATTTTTTAAAAATTTTTCGACATAACTTGATAATACTAGATTGCAAATCTATAACATGGTCTAAATTTGCCACAATTATTGACTATCTAGAAAATGTTTTGTTGAACGAAAATACATTATTATTGCTATTTGTTTGATAATCCAGACTAGAGAAAATATACGTTTCTTTTTCAAAAGTTGGGAATCAAAACCATAGCAGCCGTGGTGTTTTTGATACCAAGCAGATTTCAATGTTGATTCCCGGGTTGAGGTGCTCACTTTAGGTTTCGATTATCTCGACCGAAATTGGTATGTTTGGGCTGCCTCGGTCGAAAGTCGGTAGATATAGACCGTGCTTGACCGTCCGGTACAATATAGTGTATTTGATAGCATATCGTTCATTTTTTGATAGTATAGTAGTATGTTTGATTGTATAGGATATAATTTTGATAAAAAAGGATACATTTTTTGGATGGTAAAGGATATATGGTATAGTATATATTTTCGATAGCATGTACAGTAAATTGAATAGTACATCAACTGCTTGCAAAGTTCTTATATGTCCCGTCATAAACTGTTAAATAAAAAACTTAAAAAGCGAGGCTCAAATGAAGCTGTAAATAATACTTTAAACTATTTAAACTATGCTGGTTTCTCAAGGCGACGAAAAAAGGAAACAATAAAACTCTATTTCTTTTTTTTTCACACAATAGGAAATGGTTTAAAATTCTGCAGCTGCTTTGAATTGTTTGTAACTATTGAGTTCCTTCTAGTGCAAAATCTGTGAAAAATTGCACACAATCATTACGATAATCTTATTTTTTCCCATTTTTGTGATGGCAAAATAGGTTTCTACGTCTTATTCGCACAAGGAGTTTTTAATTGTTTGCATTAAATTGTTCAAAAAACTGCTCATTTTTGAGCAGTTTGTTATAAGCATGATGAATGGGCGAAACAAAAACTACTCTATTTCTACTAATGCAAAACTCATTAAAGTTTTTGAGCGCTACTTGCCAAATTGTATTGGATCCCAATTCTCTGCAATGAACAAAATATACAATAAACTTCTTAGATAGTCATCTTGGAAAACCTCAAGTTTAGGTTGATTGAAAAAAGTTTGATAAATTTTAAGTACCAATCTGTACAATTTTTTGGAGTTTGATTTTTTGGAACCATTTTAAAACTAGTATTTATATTCAATTATTTTATTGATAAAACTACCCCTATAAAATATTTCTAACCAGCCATATCAGATATTTCTAACTATCTGACCCATAACTATCAGAGCCACCCCGGACTTAAAGTCATTTTATATGTTAAAAAAAACGTAGAAAAGCCTTAAATTCGTGACATTATAATTTAGCGGCTTTCAACTTCTTAAAAAAAATGTTTTTTTTTTAAGTCAAACTGATGAATTGTAAAAATTTGGAGTTCGCCTAAGCGTTCTTTCAAAAACGTGCTCAAATGAACAATTTTTGAGTTGACTGATTCAAAATATTTGATAGCCATTGAGAACCACTGGGAAGGCTTTGTTAGTTTGAACGCCCTTATGTAAAGACGAAAAGGTGACTCACTCTTTTTGCAGATCTTCTTGGTTAGATTTCCTTCGTCCATGTAAAACTGAGTTTTAGTCTTCACCACTGTTGCTCTAAATACAAAAAAACGAAAATTTTTTCTTAAAAAAAATTATTTCAAGCTGAAGCAAGTTATTGTTTACTGAGCAAGCAGCGCATAAAATAGAAAAAACAGCTAAATTGAAAAAAAAACTATTCCTAATTTGTTCCTGTTATTTTATAAGGTGCAAAAAGGTGCAGCCAATCTTCTGTGCTTAGATAATCAAGTCTGATAAAGGCTGAAACTTTGTATTTTTTTGGAAACAGTTAATAAACTATATTTCATCAGATAATGAGAGCTACAAATCAAACGTCAAAAGAAAACATGGTATTGGAGTTTGAGGAAAAAAGGTTTTCAAAGTTTCCCTTGCGAATGCGACTGAGTATCCAGCGCCTTTAAAACTACCAATTTTTGATACGCAGACAAAATTAACGCTACGTGACAAGTAACAAAAACCATGGTTTACTCAAAACTCGAATCACCAAAGGTTTGATTGTCTCGCATTTATTATGCATTGGAAACGACCTGAAGTTTTCTTACACAAATGATATGCTGAAAGCATCAAGTTTTTTAATTTTTGCAAACATTTTCAGAGATGATTAATTTCAAAATTTGAATTTTAATTTATCAGACAAGGATCAAGGCATAGATAAACATGCCTTTCAAAAAAAAATTGAAGTTTCTAGCGTATTTGAAAAAAAAAATTAACCAGGAAACATAAAAAATCCTATTTCTTTGTATTTAAGACTACGTTATTCAAAATTTTCTTTTTGGATAGTGTTTGTTTGAGTACAAAATTCAATTAACGGTATAAAAAAAAACAAAAAAAAACCGAAAAAAAAAACATTTTGGGGCAATCTTAAAAATCACTTGGAAAATATTTTTGATGTCGCCATCAAAAAATTGAAAAATTGGTAGTCATACAATTTCCACATATGAAAATCATATGATTAGTAATTGCTTTGGCAAATTTTTTTTACATAGTACGTTTCCCCGAAATACAAGCCAAAACAACAAAAAGTTCGTTGAAATTTTGATGACACCATTTTAGCAATTTGTAAGAAATCGGTATGATTAGTTTTTTTTCATAGACTTAGTTTATGGAACTATGTAATTAGTTTTTTTGGTCTATGGATGTCAACCCGGGCAGACTGAACGAGGTACCGAAAGTCATCTCACGACAATCAACCAATTTCCATAGACTCATAGATTTATGTAAAGCAAAAGAAACAGTTCTTAAGTTTTTTTGAAATCCCTAAGCACTCCAATAAAGTCCTCTACTTTTTCCCCTAGTAGCTTAGATGCGTGAACGACTGTTTACTGGTTGATATACACAATTTGGGGAGATTGAAAATTTCAAACTTCAAATCAAGCGCATCGTCCCATCCCGGCTTTCTTCCTTGTATTATCCTGCCAGGTAACGTAAACAACTCATTGCCACACCGCAAATTATTTTCGGAAAAATTAACGGAACGTTTATAGTCGGGGGGTTTTTTCTTTAAATAAATTTTGACTTACTAGCTAGCATTTTTGACCGAATTTTTTTTACCACTCGAAAGTTATTGCTGCCCTGAATAAAAATTTAAAAATGTATTTCACTTGTGATCATTTCTTTGCAAAGTTATGGGGGTTTAAAGATTGCCATTTTGGCCGTTTTGACCAATTTGGGACATTTAACGCGCGATATAATTCGCGCTTTTAACGTGTAAGCGGAGATTTAAGCCTGCTAATTGGGCCAATTTGGGAAAAGTAACGTGCGATATATTTTGCGCTATTACCGCGTTAGCGGAGACTTAATCATACTGATAAATCGTTCCAAAACGGTTGAAGCAGGCTTTTTGTTCTTGTCATAATTGCTAAGTTACTACGGGGTCTAGGACAACAAGCCGACGGGATTTAAAATCGAAGGGAATTCAGTCCAAAATTTCAACTTGATAAGCACCTCAAAACATTTTTTCCATCTGTAAAATGGTATTTTTCAAAAATTTAGACTAGTTTAGTCCGTAAACAGCGTTTTTTACAACAATGCGACTCTTAAGAATGGTATCGGAGATTTACATCAGCCGGACTTTGAAATAAATAAAATATAAACATAAAAATACCTTCAGCAAGCTTTTATTTTCTTAACTTTCCTGGGCATCAAAAAGGAAGCTTTTATTTTATAAAAGCCAAAACTGGTAGAGAAAAGATCATGAAATTGAGAAATTCTTCAAACCAGTCTTCAAATTAATTATATTTCAAGACCTTTTGAGAAAAATTCCGGCCCTAATTTTACGATTCGGCTTAAAGTCCAGTCGGTTTGATGTCTGGCACGCGCTACAAGGATTGAAGTTTATCACTTTGTACTTTATTTAGCTTGTGGGGGGATGATTTTCAGAATATAGCTCAAAAATTTCATCTCTATTTGTAAAGCAGACACAGCTCCATACGAGCAGTCTTGTTTGTTTTCTTGGTAGTTTTTAATTTGTAGGGGCGGGTTTTCACATATAGAGAAGGGTGCTCGCTATCTGATTTAATTCAGTTGGGGTGATTTTATCATTTGGGTCATTAACCTTTGACCTCACCTCCCTTCGCTAGCTCTTACCTTCACAGCTCCCATCCAGATAAAAAAAACCAATAAGTTTTCCTGGTAACTTGGTGGGATTTTATTTTACAAAAGAGGCTACAAAGAAAAATAAGTTTGCTTGCAGTGGGAGGGGAGGGGAAACTGTTTGATTCGGATTTTTTCAGGCTAGAAAACCAAATATCGATGCCAATGCGTCGAGTCAAGCAATTGAAAGAATGAATCAAGCTTTCCAAGATCTAAAATACTCAAAATTTATAATTCTACTTCTAAAAATTGACAGTAATTTGCAAAATTTTAAAAAAGTTCTCCAATTTGATGATTGCAGACAAGGTGCTAAAAATATTATTGTTAAATCAAAATAATTCAGATTTGACACGTTCAGCGGAAAACCGAAAATTAAAACGAAAATGAACTATTTGCTCTAAAAGGAAAAAAGCCTCAAAGCTAGTCAAAATATTGGGCAAAAAGAGAAAAATGTATGAAAAACCTGATATCAGCAATTGATCAAATTTCGAATCCAAGTTTGGATTTCAACTTAAAAAATTTGGCCCTACTAATAACTATCAAATGTGTATATTTGTTTCATCAGCCTTGGTGGGGCTAAAAATTACTGTGAAGCTGCAATCGAAACAGTAACTCAAAAAAATTGTACTTCAAAAATGATGATTAACAAAAGATCTTTTAATATCTTGTGAGTAAATTTTCACTTGGTCTATTTAGGGGATTGATTGTTCACAGAATAATAATCTACTATACTCTGTCTGGTACATAGCAAATACTATCGACCCCCTATGAAGAACAAATTTAACGAGACACTTTCATATTTTGTACCTACTAACAAATTTTTCCACCCCTTGCATTGGGGGGGGGGGGGATTAGAGAGGTCCCAACATTTTTTTAAACTGTACTTCTCCTTGTGAAAAGACTACAAAGTACCTGAATTGAACACATGGCTGCTCGAATGTGTTTTCGGGTGCGTACCAGAGCATGGTGACGAACTGCTTCTCACTCGCACTCACGTGAGTCATCATCGGTTTACACCCACTCGAACTCTTCGTCGTCTTCGAGTCCAGGACCTAACAATCCGTCCGACAGATCAAATTATTTTGCTAGTCATTGTATTGTTGTTTCGGGTCGAGAAAATTCAAACATAACAAATTTCAGTCGAGAAAGTCAAAATTAACCGAGTTTTGTTAGAGAAAGGTGAAATCAACCGAATTTTGGTCGATAAAGTCGAAATAAACGGACTTTTGGTCGAAAAAGCGGAAATTAACCGAATTTTGGTCGGGACGATTGAAATATAAGTCGAGCACCGCGGCCTGTGTATAATTGTCCCAATCCTCATAATTTGTAAATAGCCCACTTTGAAATAATCAGGGTCGTCGTTACAAGCTCAATTGGAGTCTTTGTTGTTATCGTGACTTATAGCTACCACCTCTGGGGGACTGGGGGTTAGGGGACGAGGACCATCGCGGTATTTTATTTTAGTTAACAGGGGGAAAACCATCTTTCAAATGAAATAGTTCGAATTGCCAGAGAAGTGTTGATCCAATTATAGCAAAATATCAGTGCTGGAACCTGATCTAAACTACATTTTATTATTGGATAAATTAGATATTTTACCACTGTACAATATTTAATATTAACCAATCATAATCTATCCAACTAACAACCCACTTATTTGTAAGTGCTGAAATTACTTGTAATTTCAGCACCAGAGAGATTTGAATTTAACTTAGAAATTAGTTGCCTCTCCAAGAGAACTTCAGCTGCCGCAATAAGCCAGTATACTCTAGATCTATTGAGCCTAACAGGGACTAGTTAAACACCCTGAGACTAGTAGATATAAGAGTAAGATTAGGATCGGTATTAGACCAAAAAGTTGCACGAATCTATCCGGCCGAAAATAAGATAGCGTGACGAGCAGACGGTGTACCCTATCCAAAATTACTCTATGAGTTAGACCATACAACTTAACTCATCTGGTGCAACAATAAGTCTCGAATAAGACCTTAATAGCTTAGAACTAACCAAAAATAGATTAGAAATTAGACAAAACATTTTCAAAATGTTACACGATAATAACTTAATTGAAATGTCTCTACGACTCAATAGATCAGAGCCGATATTCCGCACAATACTAGAACTACCTGGTATTGGAAAAAGACCTCGGACAAGAGACGATATACGACTACATAGAAACTTACCAATTAGTTTCATGGTTGTAAGGCAAAAGCCAACACAAACTTTTATATTTAGAATCTTATTAGCAATGAATTAAGATTTTCATTTACAAACATAAAATTTTGAAGTAAATCTTCATGATCATTTCAGGCGCTAAACAAAATTTTTAATGTACAATAACGATTGATAAAAAGATCTGAGATCGTTTTCCTAATTTCTGCAGTATTATTCAAAACATATTTGTAAAATATTTATTGAAAATAAAAATAAAAATTAGTAGCATGACAATAAATAGTTAGTATATATAAATCATCCTGTTGTTCCAGTTTCATCACCTAAACATAACAGCAATCATAAACTCACTAACATCATTAAAAAACTAACTCTTTTTATTAAATAAATTTCAACCATTTTAATTTTAGATTCACTTAATTTTAAAAATCAGATCATCAAGGCTTCTCCTTGGATCTTTATAAATTTTCTATCTCACTAAATTTAAAATCTGATCATCAAGGCCTATCCTTGGATCAAAAAGAACAATTTTGTTCTCCCCCACCCACTTAGCAAGTGTCTAAGGACCTCAAACGTCGATTCACTATCCAACCTTTCCAAAAGACCCAGGACTAATAGAAATTTTCAAATAAAACTAACCATTCAAATTAAGTTAAACAGTGAAGAACTTCGGTTATTCATCCTTCACTTGAACCCTCCTCTTAACAGACCCAGGATCGATCTTGACTTAGTAAGTTTAAAATAGTATCTAACGAACTACTTGCGTTCTAATTATACCTGAACCTTGTGGATCGATTTACTATTCTCCAACCCTTGAACACAATCACTACCCCTAAGTAAGATTAAGTAAGTTAACACCTTAGACTAGCCACGAGAAAGTAAAAAATCATTCTCCGGAATCGATATACTTTTCTCTCCAACCCTGAACAAAAAGACCCAGGTTAAACTAACCAAAAAATCGTAAGGACTAACAGTCTAGGAAAATAAAAATCACTAAAAACTTCTTGCATCCCTCATCCTAAACCTTATGTCATTCAAAAATTTAGGAATAAAATAAACAATCGTTTTACACAATTGTGAATTAGATAACAAAAAATACAATCTTGTAATCACCCCACATACACAAACAGTTGGATACATTCGAACAAAACGACAAACAATAACAAGAAAATATATATAAACAAACAAAGACAAATCACACGAAAAAGATTTTCAAAAAATAGAAACGCATTTTCTGAATCAGAAGTCAATAGTTTAGACGAACTATACAAATTAAAAGAATCAATAGATAAAAATTGTCCCATCCATGATCAATTATATTTTTCCGACTCAGAAACAACTTCAAATTTATCAAAAAGAGGAAAAAGAAGAATAAAAAAGCAATACAAACACAAACCAGTACACCTGTATAATTGGAATCAACCAATTAGACAAATCGATAGTTATATGTTAACAGTAATCAAACGAAAAAATGAGCCACACTCAAAGTGACGAAAGTCCAGATGACGAAGCAGTTTTTCCCTTTCTTATAGATTCACTCGATGATAGAGGACAACACGATTTTTGCAAGAACTTACTCGTAAATTTGTTTGAACCAGGAATCAGCCCATGGAAAGAAGAATTCCTAGATGTAAAAATCAAAAAACAAATTATTGAACATTATTTGAAAGACATATGTAATCTAACACAACAATATGGAATCTACACCATAGAATTCAGCACACCAAATACAGCCCATCGTAAATATGTAATTCAAACAGACGATATTGAATTAGAATTTTCAAAAGTATTCATAGAATATATCAAAAGCATACAATATCATAATTCACAAAGAGCAAACTCAATATTCACTAACGAAGTTTTTGCAATAATATATAGTTATATATCTATATTAGAAAAAACAGAAGTTCAAAGTATATCACCAACTGAAACATCCAAACATACAAAAGTACGAAATGAAATCACAGTATTTTCAACATTCTACATATAATTCGCAAAAATTTCACTAAAGAAGATGTTTCACAAAACACTAAACATGATTTACAAAAGATTTTAGCATGGTTTATAATATATTATTTCACCCACAAATTAGATTTAATTTCACAAGCAAGAAAAAATTTTAGACCTCAAAATACCAATGACGACACTGTTCTTTCAGAACAATCAGATTACGTTTGGGACCCTGACTGGTCTCATCATGCATTTCTAAATATCCCACAAGCTATCTCAAGTCAAGCAATAAGTACAATATCTTTTCACAGAGATTATGTGAAAGTAGTACCATTAACCATTGATGCAACACCATTAAATTATAATACATTTTTACCTGATGCACGAAATAACAGTTTAAATTCGACGGTCATACATAATGAAAACCTCAATGGAACCAGGAATCTTACACAACAAGATATTCAAACACCATCACACTTCATAAACGAAGAAATCGCCCAAACAACAGCAACAACTACACAACAAAGTGCTTCACCAATACACACCAATCTGACAACACCAAGAAATACAAATACATCACTAACACAAGTAACCTTACAATCAACCGTTAAACCTTCGGTTGCTCCAAAATATTCACATATGGACTATCAAACGTATAGACCAATGACAATACCGTCAAAAACACGAAAACCGTTCACAAGAAATACTTTTGCAAAACACAATTATAATTATGCTCACCAACAAAAAACAAATCAAGCCCCCCGGAAAAATACACAAAATTTAAATCACGTATGTTCACATTATTGGAATCTCCCAAAAACATCAACCAATTCAGTAAACTTTCCAGATAATCCACAACCTACACAGGATTATAGTGAAAATTATCCATTCTTTCAACAAAATAAAAATAAACAACATACACCATATAATACAAACTATTTATCATCTGAGGAAGATGATTATCACCAACCAGATATTTTTGCACCATATACTAAAAAATATCGCACACAGAGACCGCGACAATCTCAACCATCTCAAAATATGAAAATTTACCCACAAAATCCAACAAATATACAAAATCCACAACAAATGCATTTACAAAACCCATTTAACACACAATCTTTTCCACCAATACAACCACAAAATCCAATGTTAATGCATTCTTATCAACCAACTCAAATGCAAAATGAAAGACCGCTTCCATTTTACCTTCAGCAACACGAAATAACAAAAAATCACTTTTCAAATTTTTCACAAATGCCAAATGCCGCAGAATCACTACAGATGACAATGAATCCATACCTCATGGGTGGATCATCAATAACATCCAATAAACTACTGATGGTATTCACAGGAACAGACCCTGAATATTCTGTAGAAGATTACTTAAATGCAGTAACAGCAAATTTAGGTTTAAATATAGGACCTGAACCAATTAATACGCCACTACATCAAAATTGGATACATAGACGCACAGCGTTATTACAAACAACACTAGATGGCGCAGCTCAAAAATGGTTTTCAGTATTACCCATAGAATTAAAATCAGACTGGAAAAGATTCACACAGAATTTTCAAAAATGTTTGACTCTGAAAGAAACAAACAACATCAAAGAGTTTTATGCAACGAAATACGCAGATACCAAATGAAACAATTAAACAATCAGCAGTACGTATCGAAACACTAGTTCGAAAAGCATACTCACTCAATACACATGACTATAAAAACACAAAAATGACAGAAATTTTAATGATGACCATAACACCTCAATTAAGGAAAATAGCTATAAAAAAGAGAGCATCTCATCCTTCCTCAATTCGAGAGCCAGATTTAGATTTTAGAAAAATTAGTAGATAAACTAAAACAAGCAGAAATAACAATGAAATTCGAAGAAACCGAAAACGACAAACAATAAAAAGAAAATATATA